TTTCAATACTGGGGGTGCCATATAGGAGGTGCCATATAGTAATATATATGTATATAAAAAAAAATTAAAATTGTTGGGGGGGCCGTGGCACCCGTAGGTCCCCCCTTGGCTCCGTCGTCAATAATCACACTACATTTACATGTTTTTCATATATTTTGTATGCATAGTATACTAAAATAATAGTTTGATCAATCATTGAATCAAAATAATAAATAAATAAAAGAAATATTTCGATGAAAATGTTTATAACAACAAATGTTAACAAAATACAGTACTCATTTGCCGCCAACACGCGTGTCATCCACACAAATTAAAGATTTTACATAAATTATATATTTGTGGGTATGTTATTGTTATATATCCACTGATAATTTTATATATATATATATATATATATATATATATATATATATATTGTAAATTTTTTTTGCATATATTTATATTTTAAATAGCATATTATCTGTTAAAATAGATTTATTAGAGTCATCCTAATAATTTTGAAAAATAATAGATGTGAGAAAATTTAAGTTTAATTTTTATTATTGTTGTTATAATATTTATTTTTAATAAAGAATATTATTTGTCAAAATAAAATATTATATTGAAATAATAATGAATTTTTTTATTTATATGAAAATTTATAAACTCTGACCTGTTTCAAAAAATTTTGGACTCAACAATTGTCTTCCTTAATTTTATCATGTAAAAAGTATGAAATTGTGTTAGTGTAAAAGTTTGACACATGTGAACCTATCTCTCTTTCTCTCTTATATAAATATATATATATAGGGAGCATATCTATATATAAGGAGCATATCAAATGAGAGGAAATTTATTATGAGAGATGAGATGATTAAAATATAACCCTTAGATTAATCAAGTGAGGGAAAATTTAAGGTTTAATCAAGTGATAGAAAATTAATCTAGAGGTTATATTTTAACCCTCTCATCTCTCATAATAAATTATCTCTCACTTGATATGCTCCATATATATATATATAATGAAACACTTTTTTATATCGCAACACTATGTCTTTTTATTAGTATCATTGATTTTATGAATTTAAATGTTATTGTAAAATTTTAAGGATTTAAAAATTTTAATTGAATTTTGTTATTTATGAGGTTATTCTAAGCAGACCAATCTTGAGAAGATATATAAGATTTTCTTTAAGATTTGAATTTTATAAATTTATTCTTGAAAAAATTTAGAGAAATTTTTTTAGAAATAAGTACTCTAGAGTTTGAGAGTTTCTTTTTCTCCTATTGATTTTCTTGAATTTTCATCCCTTTTGAAGTATGGGTAAGTAGTAGAATTTTGATTCAATGTTTCAAAGTCAAGGATCATGATTTCTGTCCGATGTTAGCTCGGAAAGGATTTCTTTCTTCCTCTTTTACTTCTATTTGTGTTGAATCAGAGGTAAGGAAAGTTTGCAATTCTACTTATTCTTTTAGAATTCTACTTAAATCATTCATGAATTCTGAATTATGTTGATTTAATTTGAGATTGAGATTTTGTTGTTGAGGTAAAACTTGATAAAGAATATAATAAGGTACAGAGGTCAGCTCTCAATCATGATGTCTTAGCAAGTGTGTGGGTCATAAAATTAGCTAGTCTAGATGTAAAGCTGATACTATAGCCTCTTAATCTATTCAACAATAACCTACTTTTATAAATTAGGTCCATGTATTCAAAATCATCAGCTTGGTGCGTCTCTAATCCAATTGACTCTTCTACCGCCCAAGCTTCGCTCTCATGGGGTTCTAAATAACAAGGCAAACTGCTAGATCTGGCTTGGATGAACACACCATTGTGATCACCAATACTGAATCCACCACTAGGTGCAGTCGCCATAATGGTATAAACCTTATATTTTGCTTGACTAATATCCCAACACTTGCATGCATAGTCGCATCCCTCAAAAATATGTCATGTGTTCTCCAAGTTGTTACCTCACAGAAGGTAGCTAGCTTAACATTGCACACCCCTACTTTAAAGGTTGATTTTGGTAGGCAAGAAATCTCTACAAATCCTCCAAATCAGTATCTTAACTTTGGCCAAAACTTTAAGCTTCCAAAAGTATCCCAGTCTCCCTCAACCTTAAGGTGATTAATATAATTGTGATAGGTTGACTAAACAAAATAACAACAATTGCTACTCCACTTCCACACTTTCTTGTCCTCATTGTTCGGGTTTAGCAAGGGAGTGTTTCTAATCATGTCATTATCCTCCTCCTTAAAAATGGAACAAACTACCTCATTATTCCAGCAATATATCGTTCTCTCCATCTATCAGCTAAACCACCTTCATCCCCAAGCTACTATTAATATTTCAGGAGATCCTTTCCTACCACTCCCATGTTTCTTTCTAAGCCATAGTTCTCCCCAAATAGGGATGCTAGTCCAATTACCAATCTTCCACCAACTTCCTTAATTCCCTCAAGAGATTTTGGGTGCTCAACAAGCTTCTCCAAGAATAGCTTGGATTGCACCCCAACTCTGTACTAAGAAAGTCACCTTGAAGGTAATATTTGTCTTTATATATTTTGTCAATCAATGAATCTTTATCAGCGAAGAGCCTAAGCTTGTTTGCCCAACATAGCTAAATTGAACATATGTACACTACGAAAACCGAGCTTGCCAAAATCCTTTCTTAAGGTTAGTTTTTTTCCCATTTCATCAATCTAATGCCTCTATTATTACTAGAGCTAGAATCCCACCCAATAGGAATTCATCATTATTTCAATATCCTCCCCCTCTGATTGTGGGATGAGAAAAATGCTAAGGAGCAAAATTAGCAAATAGTGACTAACACGCCTGGTGGGACTCGAACCCACAATCGTCTGATTAGAAGTCAGACGCCTTATCCATTAGGCCACAGGCGCTTGACTATTAGGAGTGCTACAGTCTTGATTCAATTTAGATATCTAAAACTCTGGATATGACATGCAACACAATTCTTAATTTTTAGAGTTTATATATAAAACATAAAAATAGAAAGAAGTTTGTATTTATATTTTTACTAAATGAATAAAACTAATACCCTTAAAAAAAACATAATAAATATAATTTTATCATATACTTTAATTTTAAATGAGTATTAATTGATAAAATCATCTTTTTCCAGCATGATATTATCAAAATAATAAGTTTTATATTTAAATACAATTTATTTTATGGTAATATATGCACAACTCACTATTTTAGTTTAAATTCAATAAACGTAATTACTAACGAAATATAACACACGTAATAACGTTCTAATTAAATCTAACAAACATGCTAATCGATATACAATTCTTCAATACAAATATCCTTAGAATTGAACTTGATAGAATTTATAATACTTACTCATCTCTCAACCAACTTAGTTTAGACTCTTTGGTATGAGTATGAAAATATACTATTATTTTTTTAACAACAAATATACTATTAAGATAGGTGAAGTTTTTTCTAATAATTTCTAATTCTCAAAGAGATTTTATTATCTACTTGTTACTTCAAGAATTCCCCCCTCTTATGAACTCACGTTAAAATTCGTTTTTCAAAAAGATATATTAATCTGATTATTTTTTTCTACTTGTGTAAATTCACAATTATAATTGCAAGAAAGCCAGAAAAAATTAAAAAAAAAACATTGCTACTATTTATTTTATATATTTTCAATATATTTTAATTATTGAATATATTTAAATAAAAAAAAGCAAAAAAAAGCTTAAATATATTTCTAACCCCATATTGTAAAAAAATTAATTTCATCCTTCTAAATTTTGTAAACATTGTTTTTTATTCCTATAAAATGAGCAACAATTGGTTTTGGTCAAGGTAAAAATAATTTTCTATGAATATTACCCTTCTAAAATCTAAAACCATTATTGTTGTTTCTTAATGATCATTTAATATATATGAATAACATTTATTTTACAAATTTATAAAAAAAAAAATAGCTTACGTATTAAAAAAATATGATTTGATTTGTTATATTTTGTGAGTGAAATTTTTTATAACGCCAGCCAATTAAAACCATTATTAATAATTTAATATGATTTTAAAGATAATTATTGTAAATTCAAAAAATTTATTTTAAATAATAATTTGTAATTAAATGATGATGCAAACTTATCTTACATTGTTAATGCATATTTTTTTTCTTAAAACTATTATGTTAGATATTGTGTTGGTGCATCTTATAATACATTAATAGTAGTAGTACATCGTAGTATTTCTCCTTCAGGTAATATGATATAGAAAATTTTTCATTTTATTAATTTTTTTTCAAAAAAATGAAATGGATAGGAATAAGTATTTTAATAAATTTTATAAAAATATGTTTTATTATTATATAAAATTTTAAGAATAATTTATTTACAATCAATTTTTATGAGAAGTCGTTTAGTAATTTTATAGTTGATTATTTTAACAAAATAAATCATTTATTTAGATATGAATTGATATAGCTCTTCATGTTAAGAGAAATTCTCTGCATGTCTTTCTCTTAACATATAATTAATCTACTACTTTGGTCTGTCTCCTTTGTTAATCTAGATATCGATACTTCAATTTTGTCTTCTAGAGAACACCTCATGTTTTTACAATCTTTCAATGAATTATTTAGAGTCTCTTATTTATCTCCCCTAATCATCTTTTGCAATTATTTTTTTAATTAGATGTGTTTCTCATCTTTTAAATGGCTGATGATCCTCTTAAATTGTAAAGTTTAAGTTAAACTACTAATATATATGTGTAAATTATTGGGTCAGCCTAGTAATTATAAATTAGTGTAGATGCACTCATTGTTGTCATACTTTTTTTATTGATAACAAAATTACTAATATATACCCATCTTAATTTTCAATTAATTTTTTTCTAATCGCTTGTAAATATAAAGTCACTTCCTATTTAAATAATGAAATATGCTATTTGTTACAAAAGTGTTTTCGTAAAAAATTGCATGAATTCTATTCTTTTTTATAATTATTTAATTTAATAAATGAATAAAATTTAAAAAAACTGGTGGAAATCATCACATGTATATTATTCGTACATAAAATTCATCCAATACATTTTGTACCAATCATTATTTCCCTTAAATAATAAATTCAACGACATGAAATATGTTACTAAAATTTCCTTGGGAAATAATAGCAAGAAATCAAATGAGGTCTTGGTGATAATTCAAGAGAAAAGAAACTCAAATCAACACAACTCATTTTGGCAAGGCCAAGAACTCCCATGCAATAACTAGTTCCTCAACACATTAGTAATTTGCAACATCGATCACCTTATTAAATGTTATAATCGGGCTTTCGAGCCAAAAAGAAGTACATTGGTGTGAAAATTTCTTTCCTGAAAACACAACATATATACACATCAAGTTTGACAATCTTACGATTCAAAAAAACAAAAAATTCAAAAGTTAGTCTCATTTAATTTATCAATATTTTGTTTTCGGACTCATATGCACTAAATTAAAAGCATTAACTTGACCCAGCATAGAGGTTACCATGCATATTAGTGGAAATTGTGATATGACTAATAAATGAGTGCATTTATTTTATGCAATATTTTTCTTTATATTTCAATTACCAATTCTAACTTCATTTTGAATAGATTTCAAAATGACATTAAAGGATTAACAAAAAAAAAAACTTACTTTCCCCCTTCAACTAGTCCATCTCCGGCCTTTTCTAGGAATTCTTGAACCCTTAGACTTCCTCTTGGAGCCAGTCCAACAAATTCTAGACTTTTTACCTACAAACATTCCAATTCACAACCCACAAATAATATCAATATTTTGAAAAATAAAACAACACATGATTCAAAATTTTTTTTAGCAATTTAAGTTTTAGTAGCAATACCAGACTTCTTGTAAAAAATCGTCCAAGAGCTGTCAGACGAAATGTATTAAGTGAAAAGCGACTTGTATCCAAAGGATCATACCAAGGAACAGGAGAATCAATTGCAAGATCTTTCTCCCATAGTACCTTCATCCACAAAAGGAATGAATCTTCCTTTAGCCAATTAAATTATTCATCTTTTAAATATTAAAAAAATAATATTAGTAAGGAATAATAATAAGTTCACCTCAAAACCTGCTTGATTCAGAGCTTCTGCACACTTTGAGGTCAATCTAATATCAGGAAGTCCATCACCAATCTCAATTTCTGCCTGTACCAAAAATTATTTTTATAGAATCATAAACCAAGTTCAGAAAAGTCAGAAAGTAGAAGATAAAGTAAAAAAATTCTAAGTTCTTTGTACTTATCCATCATACCTTTATCCTTTGGTGATCTTTATTGTTGGGATCAAAAGCTCTAGTCATGCACCATTCATATGCAGCAAAATATTGACCAGGCTTCAACACCCTGAAGATCTCTTTGTAGCATCCATACTATTCACAATTCAATGTCAAAAAAGAGAAATAGAAATTTCAAACAATCCAAATTAAATGAGTTTTACAAATTCTCGGTTTCACACACAATACACTTTGTGCTAGTAAGCATGTCCATGTTGAAAATTGGTCATGTATGCATGTCAATTTATGAGTGCATCTACAACTACAAAAAATATTATGTAGTTGTATTGTAGTATTAGAAGAATTGAAGAAAAGTGAATTAAAGTATGAAAAATGGTCACGTACAGCATCTGGTGCATGACAGGTGGCTTCAATTGCATACACTGCATCAAAACTATTATCTGAGAATGGCATTTTCATGAAATCGGCCTGCATTATGAAAAATGATAATCATGTCATTGTTTGTTATAGCTTTAAATTATAACATTTTATTATCAAAATGTCCAATGCAATTCATTAAACTTTACCATTAAAATAAATAAATCCAATACGACGTAAAAATGATAGAATAAAAATTAGTACAAAAACTAGACTCATACATGCTTAAAAAATCAAATGTGTCCCCTACCCTAGAAAAAGGGAAAAAAGTTAATAACAGAAGACCGACCTTGACCAAGTGGCAAGTTTTGTCCACTCCAGTAATGCGATTGAGTTCCTGATAATTAATGAAAGCTCATAAGAAATCAACATATATTTCTTTTTAATATTTAGTACTAATTACTCATTTTTCAATTATAAAACGTGGTAAACTGATGTAATTTATTCATCAACAAGGTTTTTAAGAATTTAAGATGTTTGACAAGGTCAGAATGTTGCATCAATATGCTTAATTTATAGATTAAATATTCACAACATACCTTTGCTCTTGTTATCTGGTACTCATTATTGTTCAATCCTGTAATTGATGTTGAGCTACACAAGTAGAACCAAGTTTATAAGTGCATCCACTCTTTTCTTGAAAAACAAAAACAAAATTCTAAAATAAACATTCTGTCATACTTGATACTAGTAGAATATTAGTAGTATATTATTAACATTGCACTTTTATCCATCGAGAGGAGAATTTGGATTCACATGAAGCAAAACAAGGTATAATTGCATTGAACCAAGGACTTTGACAGCCTAGATAATGTAAACTATTTCCCATGACATATGAGAAATTTAATTAAAAAGAAATAAATTATTTCCTATTAATTTTCAAGCTTAACTCTTTGGATATATATAAATAGTTTATAGCATAATTATGAAACAATATAAATAGTTATGTAGGATATAATTCTTTGGAGCACCTAACAAAGTGCAATTCAGATTGAGAATCATAAAGAACTAAACTTATGGAAACATAATTTGTTAACAAGATAACTATTTATGTGAAATACTTCGATAATATACTTGATAAATTTTACAATCTAGCACACAAAAAGTAGGAAAGACACACCTGAATCGAGAAATTTCTCTTAGTGGCCCCCCAATTCCACATCCAACATCCAAAACCTAAAAACAAATTTATACTGATTTAATTAATTAATAAATAGTAAAACATATCTTAGTTTGCTTTATCGAATATGAGAACCTTTTGTCCTGGCTTTAGGCCAAGTTGTAAAGCAAGAAAGTGCTCATGTCTTTTAAGGCTTTCCTGAAGAGATTCCCCTTTCCATCTAAATTAGAAAAAATTAGTAACATGCATGATTTGTTGAGGTTACATCAAATTTATAATTTAGTACATAATATAATACAACAAATGGATACCTGGGTGCAAAATGGAAAGATTGACCCCAACCATACTCATAAAAGCTGGTTGAAAGATCATAGTATTTATTAACCTGAAAAACACATGGAGATCTTATGATACGTTTTTTTAGATAATCAAGTTGACAACAATTAAGATAGAACAAACCAACTTCAGTAATCACAATTATAAACAACACAAGTGATTTTTGTTGTTGTTGTAAATAATACTTAAGAATAAAGGAAGAGTCGACGTGCATAATATTTAACTTAACCATCCCGACATGCATATGTATGGCACTATTCTGACTAGCCAAAATATATATTTTTATATTGTTCATATTCACTTGATATCATTAAAAAAAAAAAGAAAAAAAAAAAAAAAAAGCATCGAGCAGTGACAATAAAAAGTGTAACAATCTTATATTAGGATATATATAAATTGGCAAGGCAGATAGCATGTGTCTGAAAGAAAGGATAATGTTAAACAAGTACCAGATTGTGTAAAAACTATTTATTGTTAAATGAAGAAAATAAATATCAATTAATAACTCTCACCATATCAGTGTAATTAGCTTTTCTCTCTTCCTCTTGGCCTCCGTAATAAACATGATACTTCTCATACCTGAATCATAAGTTTAATACATTTGATTTTATATATCTGTCTTGATAACTAAACATCATATCTCGTACCAAAACACACATATATATAAATGTTCCCCCAATTACAACAATGCAATATAAATAGTGATAGTTATCATGAGGAATAATAATATGAAGGAAAAATAAGAGAGAATCATATATATATACTCTTCAACGGCGGACAAAATTTGAGATTTGTCAATCTTTCCACCAACACCTGATGCCAGATTCATTGTGGCAAGTTTCAACCCTTCTCACAAGGAACTTGCTAGGATCACACATAAAAATCAAAATTGCATCAGAATTAAATAAGACAAATGCAATGAAGCATAGGAAATGTGAGATGAATCTTACATGAAAAAGAAGGTGTCAAAAGAACCCAACACATGGAAAGGGGAATCACTTCAGAGGTTCAACGATGGAAGAGGAAGAGAGAAAGTACAAGGGAGAGAGGGATTACGATTCTTTACAATTGTTTTCCTCTATATAAAATATCTGAACCAAAAAATGAATAAATTAAAAAAAAACCACAAATATATATTAAATGAAATGCATTGAATTAAAGTACCACGTATTGTCATTGCATGGTGAGGACAACTATTACTCAATGGGAAAATGGTAATAAATTAAGAGAATTTAAATTCCTATTTTTAATTATATAGCAAGAGATAGAAAGATGTCGCTTTCACTTCCTCTTTTTTTTTTTTTTTGTTGCTTAACGATTGTAATAACTAATTCACTATGTTTTATGTGTCTTTGCATCCATATTTTGTGGCCATACACATGCTCTTGCGTTTGCGTCGGGAAAATCAAAACGGCTTAAACAACCAATGAATGAGGTCAACAAAATATATTTACATTTATAATTTTGTTGATACAATTGAGTGTTGGAAAATGATCAAATGACACGTTATAAAAGTTATTTACCCTTAAAGAAAAAATGTAAGTATTATAGGTGATTTAACATGAGAAAAAAATGCTGAAAAATTACAAAGTGATAATTAAATGTTTGATACCTTGTAACAAATAAAAATGTTTGATAAAAAAATTATAAAAAGTAGATCTCATGAGTGAAAATTAATTTTTGATTATCAATTTTAAAACATTACATAAATCATGTTCGTAGGAGAAAAAAGGTTTGATATATAAAAAGTATTTTAGTAGCATTAAATTAAGTATAACTATTTTTTACACCTTATACACACACATATATATATATATATACACACATGTGTGTGTGTGAAGAGAGATTCATTTACTCTAAGAATAAGTTTACCTAGACTTATTCTATTTAATAATTAATTCTCTACATTAAATTTCAATGATCTAATTGTTGAATTTAAAGTTTTTAATATATAGATCAAATCTAAAATTTTGAAAAAAAATTGAAAATAATTTGATACTTTATTTTATTAATTCAAAATCAACGTATAAAATGATTTTATGATTATCCATCCATTTGAATTAATAAAATGAAGTATCAAATGATTTTCAAGTTTTAAAAAAATTTCAAACTTGATCTATGTATTAAAAACTTTAAATCTAACTATTGAATCGTTGAAATTTGATATAGAACATGAGTTATTGAACAAAATAAGTTTAAAAAAACTTACTCCTTAAATAAACGACTCAAGTAATAACACTTATTAATATGAGAATATAAGAATAAATAATTACAACTCTTAGATTAAAAGATGTTACTACGTATTGTCGTCATTATAATTTTCTTTATCATTGTTGTCTTCATTCTTGTTATTGAAATTGTCACCACCACCACCTTCATCGCACCTCTACTACATCACTATTATTGTTGTCATTACCCCTATCATTACTTTCACCATCACCAACATAATTGCTGTCACTTCTGCCACCACGTTATCACAAATACCGTTGCCACTCCTGTTTAAATGTTATCATTAATTACATGAAAATAAATATTTTTTTTATATTTACAAAATTATTCATTTGCATTAATTAAAAATTCACCTAAAATATTTATGTTATATAACATAAAAATTAATACACCTCAATTAAGAGCATATATGTTTAAGGTCAAACACTCTTCTTTTTTTTTAATACGAGCATTAAACAAGTTAAGGGGGTTGGATTTTTTTCAATGAAAAAATCAACTTTATATTAATAGAAGGAAAATTATTATTATATTTATTATTTCTAAAATATATATAATTATATTACCATCTTAAAATTATCAAGTTTAATTTATTTTAAGTATAAAATAAATTTTTAACATCATTTTTAAAAAAATTTAAAAATCATCTATATAAAAATTTCAAATTCTGAAAAGAGTTAATCGAGACTACACATTAATTCCTTTCTAGCAAGTTGCTCGTCTTTTGACTTATTTATAAATCGAAATTAATTTATAAGAACCTTATAAAATTGTGGGAAAAAAATTATTTTATAATTTTTTTATGAGAATATTTAATTTTTTACTTTATTTATTTAAGTTACTTTTGAAAGACAAAAATATACTTATGAAATTGTGTTTTATGATTCTTTAAATATACTTGTGAAAGGTATCTTTCATAATTATATTTCAAGAATCATAAAACACAATTTCATAATGATAATAAAAAAAAATGTGCTGTTTCTAATAAATAATTCATCATAAAAATCAATAGGTCATATATTTGAAAATTATAAAATTTATAATCTTGTATTCAATGTATTTAATATTAAAAATAGAGTGAAACATTAGGATTTAAAAATGATGAAATTAAGAATGCAAAAAAAAAAAAATAGATTTTAAAAAATAAAAAAGATGAACTAGTAAATGTCTTGATTTATGGATATAAAAAATCAAAAAGTATAATGTAAAAAGAAGAAAAAGTTGTATAAAGAGTGATTAAAAAAAATAAACAGAAATATAAGGAATAGAGGAAGATGGAGTGAATAATTTTTTTAAAAAAAATATATAAATCTTTAAAAAATAAATTAATTGGGTATTTGATAAATCTTTTGAAAAAAAGATGAGAAGTAGGTGTTCTAAAAAAACTATTAAAAAGGGAGGTGTATATAAAATTTGCCTTAAAAGTTTTAAAATATTAAAATAAAAGGTGGCTTTTTATTTTGTGGGCTATGAGGCTTGAAATACTTGTGCTTTTATCTTTGGAGGGGTTAGTTTGGCCCATAAAGGCCCAACGTGTAAGATGAAACTCGTAAATCCTCTTGCTTTTGTGCCAGCGAAGAAGTTTCAATTTGATTGCTTCTTCTCCTCTTCCGAAAATCCAAAATCGTATCAATTGATGCACCGTTTGGTTTCATGTGGTTAATGGTTATTGGGTTGTATGAATGTAATTTCAATATCCGCAAGGAACTGCTATGACCATATAATATATGAACTTAACATAATTCTTCATAATTACGAAATTCAATTGCAGTTATGAAACGTGGGTATGTTTGAATAAATTTATTTAGGAACACTTTTAAGAGAGAAAAGATATAAAAATGAAACGAAATCCTCCAAAAATTAAAACTAATTTGCAAATAAGTTCAAATTAAGATTTTAATGAAGCTAATAAAAGATAATTTTTATAAATTAACTTAGACCTAAATTAATTATTGTTTATGAAAAAAAGTTATTTGATTTTATTTTTCTTATTGTTTTATCTTAGAAGTGTTTCTTGAGAAATTCAATTCATAATTTAACATTTTCACTCTATGATGGATATTGATAATCATTTCACATTTTGTCAAGTAAGAAGCATGAATGCCATAGAAGAAGAATCTTCAAATGCAACTAGTAGAGGTGATGACATTGGTTTTTTTACTATGCAATCATTCTCTTCCTATTTTTTAGTGCTTTGGAAGAGAAAAACACAAGAAAAGAGTTAAGAGCTAGTGGTTGATCGTTTTAGTTAGTGGCAAATAACATAAAATGTCCCGAGTACCCACAATTAAATATTTGCTAGTTTTAGGTAGTCATTTAAGTTTCAAATCAAACCAATCTTTCCCTCTTTCATATATTTCCTTTTATAAATTGAAATTGAGGCAGTGAAACTGTTCATGGTACGAAACCAAACAAAAATATAAATTGTATTGACTTGTTAAAAAGTAGAGAGAGGAGGTCCTCGTGAAATGTCTACTTTAAACACAACAGCAAAATAGGTTGATCGTTGATGTTCTGTAGCGACAAATTTGAAGATTCTTGAACAGTTATAGTGGAGAAACACTGTTTGTCATCCATGCACTGTACTACTATAAAATCAACGAAATATGTATCCCCTTTTCCTTTTCTTTTTTGAGGAAAAAACACGGTTTTAGAGGTTTATTAAATAATGAATTAATTCCTAATATGGAAAACTAAGAAATACCAATGTTTTACCACTTTTATATGCTTTCTAGTTTCTATTATGTTTTTTTTTTATATTTTATTTTACTATCTATTATTTCTTTTTTTGGGCCCTTTTGAAGGAGAGGCCATACTGCTATGAGAAGACACAAGTCCCATCACTGACTATAAAAATGTCAAAAAGTTCCATCCACGTGGCCTTAGCCTTATGATAATGAAATAGTAGCTGGTTAGTTTCTTGCAATTTATGTATATTCACGGAATTCTCTTAACATCCACTTGTTTCATATTTTTGTACTAAAAACATGTTTACTAGGTGTAACTTAATTAGTCTTAATCACATTTTTACAAGGTGAAAGCCTGAGAAAATGACTAAGAGATGAAAATTAAATCCTATAAGTCTCTTGGCTCTAGTAGTTATAATAGATATAAGATCTGCATAAAATTAAGGAGAATAATCTGATAAGCTAAATTTCAATTTATATTTGTGTTAAAATAATATTCAGTTAATGAAATCACATTTTGCAAGTATTGTATGGATTATATTTATAAAAATAAAAAAAAATTACACACTTTCTATTATCTTCTTTAAGAAAAAAAAATTCAATTAATAGATAAGAAAATGAGTATCCGATTTAAATTTCTCCCAACCAAGAGGAATATATTTTTTGTAATTTCTCATTCTCACTATATTTTATTTCCTCTTGATCCCATCTCTGTTTATTCTAGCTGAACAAAAAGCTTCAAGTACGTCCTCTTAAATTGTAGAAGAAAGTTTGACTGTGTGAGGTCTGAATTGATCACATAGTCCTTGACTCCACATTCTTCCTTTTGGGTACCAAAATCTTCTTGAACATTATCAAATTAAGTCAAAGATTTATTACAGCATGAAATTACACCAAAGTCAAGATGTGTATAGTTTGACATATGACTACTAATTCAGATCTCCAATTCAACAAAATTCAACTCCGGCCTGGATTTTTTTAAGGTATCATGAAAAATTAGTGATCGTAACTAAAGTAAGAACTTATTTGAATATAAATTAAAGAGACTTTTAGAAACTTTTTTATTGACAATAAAAGATATATTTCAATAGAAAAACTTTAAAAAATATTTTTAAATTTGTATTCAAATATACTCCAAATTAATTCTTATTAGTGTTTCCTGTTGTAGGATCTTAAAAGTTGTTGGTATTAATTGATTAGTCCCTGTTATATATATTGAAAAAAATTTGGTTAGGTGGTGATCAATAACGCATTAAAAATTATGAAGAGAAATAGTTTAGGTTAAGTCATATATATAAGAATTTTGTGAGTATAAGTGAAACTAAGATCATTTGCAGCAAAACCTTCTTCATCTCATTCTTTGTGTGCCACACACAGATTTTAGCCATTAATACCACAAGTCTGAAACATTTCATCATAAATAATCATTTATATATGTCCAATGAGTTTCATTGAGAATAGAGAAATTAAAAAGAGAGAATGGTAAGAAAATTAACCTGACCACCAAGATGCATAATAGATAACTTGTTTTTAGGATAACAACTTGAATAAGAAAGAAAAAAAAAGTTAAAGGAGAATAGAAGAAACCAATTGCCTTGTAGTTCTATGTCAACTAGAACAACTTCCTTCCCTTCTCTTCTCTTTAGTAGACAATAATATACAAGTTCATATATACTAGAAGTAGCATATATTATATGAACAAAACTTATAAATTAATACTCACTAATCATTGGAGCAGAGAAGCATTATGATACATCTTCTAAGTATATAAAACCTTCCTCTACCTTCTTTGAGAAGAGCACCCATGCCTTTGCCCATTAGCCTTCTTTTGGACACTCTAATAGTTGTTTCAGTTTCTATCTTCATCTTCTCTGCATGTATGAAGCTGTGGCTTTGTTCCCTCTATGCTCCTTTTCAAACATGTAGTGTACTTTATATATAGGGTAATGTGCTCTCTTTATGCTTTTTGAGGGCCTTTCAATGTGCAATCCAGTTGCAACATGAGGTGATGATTAAATTGCATGAAAGAAGAGGGAGATGGTTGCACTTAAATAAAGGGTTTTGTGGTGGTCCTGTGCTCCTACCTTTCCCTGGTCACCAATGAAGAAACCAAACGTGGGGTTTGTGGTGGTTCACATGAGATGTCCCATACGTCTCTAGCAATACTCTCTTGATAGTTGACACTCTTTTTATTATTTGACTGAAATTTATTAAAAATTATAAATTTTAATTAATCTTACATATTACTTGAAGAAAATCTCCTTATTAACAAGTCAAAATTTATGATTTTGAATAAATTTTAATCAATAATATAAAAGAATAATGTTAGAAAAAAGCTACTGAGTGCCATTAACTTTCGTCATCTAAAAAACTATTAGAAAAATATCAAATTTAAGTTATGAATATGAAATTAACTTAGTTAAAGAAAATTTTGCACTTACAATAAATTTACTGACTCGAATGAGTGGAGACACATGTACAAAAACAATTATTAGATAATTTTAGACTATTATATGTATTTATATTCTTTCTCAGCCAATTTTTACCTTATACAATCGAATTTTTAATTCATAATTTTTTATAATGCTCGATTATTTATTAAAAGATTATAATAAGCACATACGTACTATGCGATAATTTATCCAGCTTTCTCAACAGTGTGCTACACTTTGGGCCCCAACACTTCTGGCAAGCTTCAATAATAAAGAAGAAGGAATGTTCAAAACCATACAACATACTCTCTGTCTCTCTCCTTCCTTTATCTCTTCCTTTTGTTTTTTATTTCACCTCATATAATAAAATTATGACTTTCCTAAAAGGATGTTTAGGGCTTTCAATCTTATCTCGAACAAGTACTTCAGTGCACGAGATTTCTATCATCATATGGAATGGAGAAAGTCAGAAATCCAATTTTAACATTAATAGAATTAATTAGTGCACTGTTATTCTTCAAGCCTATACTCATGAGTCATGCTCATGCACAAATTTATATCATTCCTATTGATTATTTTTTTTATTATTTCGTAATTCATTCACCAACAAGGTAACTATAATCAGGGTCAATCAAAAACTTAGGATGCATCCTTAAATTTTTACTCTTTACAAATAGACACTATAAATTTGAATTTTGTTTATCTTAAAATAAAAATGTTATTTATTTATTGCTGAAATATTTATGAAAAGTAGTCTTTTGCATATTAGCATGCATGCATGTTACCAGTTTTGGCCATGATCTTTGAACATGGATTGGTAGGTGGTTACTAAGTGCTCATCGTTTCTACTAATAGTGTAACATTTGTGCATCACCTAGCTAGTATAACTAGTAAGCACAGTTACTCCACTCTATAGGTTATCACTTATATATTAGTCACTTTTGCAGATATACGTACATCATAATAGTAACATGTATAAATTCTAGTTCTTCATTAAGAAAAGTAACATGTATTTTAACAAGTCTAAACAAAAGCCATAATTTATGATTAGAAGGAAAAAAAAAGTTGGTGTGCTATTATTAAACATACACACATATAGCAACCACTTAAAAAAATATATGTTTATGAAATAAGACTTTTTTTTATAAAAGAAAATGTACAATTAAATGTGTATCACATAATAAAACATCAAAAAGTGACTCTGGTAATTAAAATAGTTAATTATAAAATTTGTGATTGAGATTAATTCAGACACATTAAATAGTTTAAAATTAAGTTTAGTTGGATAGTCCTCACTAAATAATAGTAAAATTTACCTTAATTATCAATTATATATAAATCTTAGGATAAACCTAAAGATGTGAAGAAAGTCATAATGATGACCGATTCAATCGTTTTGAACAGAATCCTAATCCTACGGTATCAGTAGTTGGCTAAAAGCGAAAACAGTATGAAGATGATAAACTTTTGTCATGTGCTCTTTTACCATTGTGATTCGCAACTTGTTTGATAAAGAGGAAGGACAAAATACCGTAGAACTTGTCATGCTAAAGTGGATCCACCTCCTTCAGAAACTACTTCGCATAGTGTTTTTTTTTCTCCTTCATATATATATATATATATATATATATATATATATATATATATATTAGTTATTAGGTATAGAGCGTATTTGGAAACCGTTCAGAATTAAGAAATTAACAATTATCAATGTTTTAAAATCATATTTAAGACAATAAAAATCATATACGAAATGTGAAACTATACATGCTAATACCGCTTCACATTAATAAATTCATTCGAAATGGCAAAGACACATATTCATATTAGCTAGGAAATTTTTTTGAACTATTTGCATATCAACTTCGCCTTTCAAATACCTATAATCTATAGAAGATAGACCTGTTTAGGTTTAGAATGTTTATAATATGGTAAAAGTAATTCTCCTGAACTGTTATATTTATTTGGGATCTTATTTTAAAAAATAAAATAAAATCAAACATGTATCACCTGAACTGATTGCCTGTTGGTTAATATTTTTTTGGAAAAATATTTTTGACTATATTCGAAGTTGAATACTTTTGGGTTGTTCAAATCAGAAAATTAAAATCAAATTGTCACATAATTTATTTTGTCAACTCTTCTCACGTTGTTCTTGCCCCTGTATTAGTTTCTTCTCTCAGAAATATTTGGTTATATATTTACGATTAGTAATTCATTTGTTTAATTATTTTAGATACATATGTCCTTCTTTGTAAGACGTTTATTATATATGAGATGAAATGAGCAAGTGCGAAATAGGGAGACAAGTCATAAAATAAAACCCTACATGTATATGAGAAGGGTGGAGGTAGAATATTGAACGAATTTGATTTTTTTTTAATTTTTTGGTACAATAGGAAACTAAACAGAAAAAATAGAAAAGAAACTAAATTACACAAAGTGAATTAAGTCCCAAAGCTTCTAAAGCAAAGTAGCAAACCGAGGAGGTCTGTCCCAGGAGGATTTTCATATAAATTGTGGATATAATGATTGATGTTTCAGACCAAGTCTTGAGGGGAAAAAATGAAAACAAACCCTTAAATGACTCACTTAATTTGACTCTAAATCTAGATTTAAAGTTAAAGTAATTTCTATATAATAAAATTTGTACGGAACCAAAATCAATCTTTTGTTGCACGTGATGTTCACGTGATAAACATGGTCACTGTCGCTAGCGTGGAAGACAGTATTTGTTTGTTGTTCTTCTCATTTCAAATTTTTAAACCACACATTACTTTCCTTGGCTGAGGTAGCTTCCTGTTGTTTTCCTTCTCCCTTTGACATGAAGGAACAATTACTGGCCGATGGCGACGCTATGTTGTCACTTTACAACGATTTGGAAATTGAAATGGTCTGATATATTATTGCAACAAGAATGACGTGATATTATTACAACACCAATTCCAGCTTGTTAAAAATATTTTTATTTGAATATAACAGTTATCATTGATTTAAATTATTACTTTGTTATCATAATTAACTACATCAATTATGCCAATGAATTGATTGCTACGTGCATTCTTAATTATAGTGCAGATTGAAGTGATACAAATCCCCCAAACCTTCCACATCAAATTCCCCTGGCAGTTAAAATAATTGCAGGGCTACGGGCTACCTGACACCGTGAACCATGAGCATGATTCTCACTCATTGGATGCTGAAAGGGCTAAATCAAAATTGACAAGTCAAGAACCTTTAATGGATCTAGGCATCGTTCTGCATATGATTAAGTCATAGATGCCTATATTTTAAATGAATGTATTTACTTTAACTGTTTGTAGTTGTAAGATCAGAAAAAGGATAATAGGACATTATAACTCCACAAGATAACTGAAACTCAACGCTGTAAAACTTAGGTCAAAGTTACAGCCCAGTGAAATACCATCCAAAGTGAAAAAAAAATAAAAATGAGCATAGATGTAAGTATGGTAAAGCTGTTTAAGTGGTAAAACCTTGTAATTTGTAGCAAAGGTTGGCCGTTTCATGATTTGATGAACGAGTTTATTGTTTATGAATGAACGACCCTATTCACAAATAATAACCTGAAAGCCCCAGTTTGTTACTTACTGATATACTGAAGCAGAACCAATGCTCGAAATTATGGGGCCCAAACTGAAGTGGATGGTGACAGAACAATCACATACTATTGCGTAATGTCAATAAGCAAGCTTGTGGAGGCTTCGAAACGGACCCCTACCCAAAAGGAGCAACTTAAATGAGCACATTTGTCCTTTTGAGAGCTAGAAAATGATATGAGGACGTCTCTTTTCAGGTACGAACGATGTCAAACACTCCCAGCAGGGAAAAAAAGTATATAGAGTACGAAATGGAAGGATTTCCTTGTCTTATTGTTGCCGTACAAATTCAAAATCTATAAGCTCATGAACTCTGTAGTTTGACCAATACCTCTGGGCAGTGGCCAGCCCACATGTGAGGCAGCGTAATCCTCAGGCGCCAACTGTATCCAAACATGAAAAGCTGCTTAGCTGCATTACCGCAAAGGGCTTCAAAAGCTCATACTCCGCGAGGAAGAGATAATTCAACAAGAAAACTATCTTTCACGGACACAGTTACAGTTCTTTACACCTGTCAACTTCAATGGACCAACACCACGTGCTTCATTCTCTTGATACACTTGCTGCCTATATCTGGTGCATGGGACTTTGTGACCATAACTTGGTTTTGATTCAAGTGCGCGCAGTGGCCATTTACTTGCTAGTCGCTATTCTTCATATATTCCGTATCAAGTTAAATTCAAAATCATACATGGGAGAATATGAGATATCATGATGCTAATTAATAAAGAACAAAACAGACTAGCACGCTAGCATTGTTTTGTTCTTATCACTTACCAGAACAAGAAAGCCACAACAAGCTGACTGCTTAGTTTTTTAATCATGTACTCTGCTCCATCAAAAAGTTTTCCTACTTTCCATATTTATCTATCCATATCTAAACCTCACCAGAAGATCCTTAATGATCAAACATGACAAAAATGACTTGAAACTCCAGTTAATTATTTAAAGAAATGAACTTATAGTATATCATCGCTGGTCCCAATTGCTGAAAGCAGTGTAGTCTTCAAATCATTGATATCCTTAAGCAATTTCTCATTCTCCCAGTTACTCCTCAGTATCTGAACTTCTAATGCTGCAGTAGGGGTCGTGAGGAAGTGAATTGGAAAGGTTGCAAAACATCACTGTCAAATAGACAACATCTAATACTTAATCATTAACTTTAAGAATCTGTTTTATTATTTACCACAATGTGTGCAGATGCATCAACTTCCCTATGTATGTCGTCCTTAATTTGATTTGGTGGAAGCAACCTATTATAAAGGGGATATATTTTGATAACTACCCCTTTGATCTCTATTTTTTAGTGGACTATTATACTCCTTAAAATGTTAAAAAAAAATTATATTTTTTTTAAATAATTATCTGTAATTTTCAATATTTATCTATGTGTAATTATTAGAGGGACGAAGTGCCTCGGCCCCTCTAGTAATAATAAAGAAAACTCATGGGACTAAGGTTTAAAAATAAATACTACCTGAGTTCGAACTATGAAGATCCTCAAGAATTTCCTCCACAAATGCCAATACTGAATTTTTAAAAACATTATTTTTCTTTTCCAAAAGTTGAATTTCATTTTCAAGGGAATCTTTCTCAGACAACACAGTTCTCACTTCACAATCTTCTCTCTTGTCAATTTCTCTCTGAAATTCTAGACATAGTGTTGTAAAATTTTCACTGCAAAGAAAATAATCACACAGACATCAAAATTGGGCAGTGACGTTGCATAAGATAATATCACTTCCACGAAGATTAACCATTTTAGATTAGATACTATAAAAAAGCTATAAGAAGTGAGGATTCAAATGGTATTCGAAGTTAAAATGTATATACTCATACATACAAGTTCATGAAGGCACTAATGTATACGTTCTATTATATTAGCAATTAGCCACATAGCAAAAAGGAGAAATGAGAACTAACTTTTAAACTATATTCAGTCAGCAATAGGATCAAAAAATTGGTCCTCAAAACAGATCTTATATTATCAGTTGAAATAACAAAGATACCATACCTCGCATGAATGTCCAGGGACAGTTTTTGTCACCCCAATTCCTCAAAGTACCACAAATAAATGCATAGACATATAGCAACTTTCTACCCTAACAGCGAATTCAAAACTGATACTTTTTGCAGTATAGGATTGATTTTTGAAAGATGCTTCTGTCCATGAAAAATGATTCCAGCATTTGCTTGCAGATTTTAAGTTTGACTTTCACGAAAAGCTCAGTACAGAATTAGACTTCAATAACAACTACGTATATTAAGAGTATTTCAATACCGTTTTTCATTCATTTTATTAACCATCTCATCCCGCTTCATTTTAAGACAGCATAACTCCTTCTCCAATGTACTTACTGAAGCCCTGAAATCAGCTATAAAAGAAAAGAAAAGAAAATTGTAATGCAGCACACGAATGGAACTGCCAAAATAAGATCGCCAAACAATGAATTGTTCAAGGAAAATTAGTTGACACTTGATATAGATCCTACTGCTAAAGATCCAAATTCCAATAAATAGATGCTTTTATTAAATTAAAATATCATTTCATTCAGAATTTTCTCTTGTGGAAGCAATTTTTTTTTTTTTTTTGAGGAAGGAACATACAGATTTTGTTTTTGGTCAAATAAATCTAATCTCAGCATAAAACTGTATAGATTAATGGTTCATGACTTTGAAAGAAACATCCGAGTTCCAGAACCAATAATTAGATTTTACTTTTCAAATTTTTGAAGCCAATTTGATTAAAAAATTCTTAAAAGTCAAAATGTAAACTAAACATGGATGTGAAAGTAATCAGGAAAAAAGAAAGTAAAGAAAACACGATGTTTATGTTGCCTTCATTTTTTCCGAAGGGGAAAAGGTTAACAAGACTCAAATCGTCAAACTTATTAATTAAGAAAGAGGAAGCAAGCAGGACATGTTCAAAAAATTCCACGGTATGTTGTTATGATGTCTATAAACTCTATCTATCTATCTTACTTACCAGTTCCGTTATTTTAATTTATCTATCTTTTATACTAATATATAAAGGAGATACTCCTTTTAGTACTTATAAAGAAGATATATTTAGGAGTTAATCACTTATACACTACCAGTGTAAAGTTTTTTTACATTGACAACCAATTATATCCTTTAATTGTGTCATGTCACTGTTAAAAGTAATTGTGTTTACAGTGACATGACACAATTAAAGAATATAATTGATTGTCAGTGTAAAAAAACCTTATAGTGACAGTGTATAGGTGATTAACTTTATATTTAGGTAACCAATCTTTTGGTTTCCACTTTTTAGTGAATCATTATACCTATTGGATGTAAAAAAAAAATTATATTTTTTCTGAATAACTATCCCCAACTTCTAATATCTATTAGTGTCTAACTATTAGAGGCACGAAGGTATATAATTAGTTCCATAAATCCTAAACCAGTTGTAAGCAAAAAAAAAAAAAAAAACAAAAAAAAACTAGAAACACTAATCAAAATAATTGATTAATTGCCGATTTATTGGTTTAGGACATTTCACAAACGGATTCACCTATTTTTGAATTAAGAATCTTAACCGATTATCAAACAAATTATTTTAATTTGAAATGCAGTCCTGTAAGCAACTATAACTATTTGATTTCCTAATGAGCTTCTCATATCGTTTCTATAAATTCAAGGATGAATCGATCAGAACAAGTAATAATTTAATGCAAAGAAGAGTACCGAGTAGCATCTAACCAGGTGTATTTAATTTATCGAAAAGAAGTGGAACAATGAAGAGCAAAGTTAGCGTACCAGCGACGGTGACGTATCCTACGGTGTCGAACTGCAACATGGCACTGGTTTTGATCAATTCAGCTTCTCTGGTTGCAAAATCGGCCTCGATCTCCTCGCATTTGACGATGCTGGATTCGATCTCTCGAGTAATCTGAATATTAGCCTCGATTTCTTCGTTTACCTGATCTCTCGAAGAATAAATAATTAATCAAGTGGTTGAAAAAAAAAAAAGATAATTAATCAAGTATTATCAACAAGGAAGGAATAGCGTGCGTGAGAAGAAAGATGAGAAAATACACACATACATACCTGATCCAGCATTTCCTTCAGAGATGAAATGTGAGCGAGAATCGCTCCTGAATCTTCCATTGCTTTCTCTCTTTCTGTTATGCAATGCACTCTGCAATGCTACACCACTTTTCAACGGCTCAATTCAACGTTTCCCGCGCTTCATTGCAATTTATATTTTATTTTTTTGTGTTCGTGAGCAAACACGTTAAATGAGGCCAGGCCCAGCCTACCGAACTAATATGTGGGCTTAAAAAAATTTAGGCCCCGTTTTAGAGCACAATCTAAGGTCCATGTTATTCTTACACCCCTTTACTATATTTTTACACTTTTTTTTTCCAGAAAATACTCTTAACAAAAAATATTATTTTTATTTTATACAACTTATAATTTTAAAAAGAGAAATTCTATGGTACCCATCTTATTTGAGAGAGTACCGGTACAGTCTTTTATATTTTATATTTTTAATAATTTATTTAAATAATATTTATGATATTTTATTTTTTCAATTTTTAAATTATTTAGTCATTTTATTTTTATTTTATATATTCTAATTTATTTGTAATAATATTATTATATATTTAAATAGTTTAATTTTAATAATTTTTTAAGTATATTTTTATCTTTTCACTTAAAATTTTTGAATTTCTATATTTTAATTTTAATAATTTTTTAAGTATATTTTTT